AGATAAATCGCTTATATCTCACGAACTATCTAGTAAAAGTGATCCAAACTTGGTGCGTGACCAGCATTCGATAAGAGCTATGCCCACACAAAATTAGAAGTCTCTAGCTATCATGGTTCTTGAGTTACAGGGGAGGTCGGTACTTTTGACAAGTACTGTATACGTCAGATGTCATAAGAAGAATTCGATGATTCGCCTTCAGTAGCGGTCACTTATCTACTTACTAATCATCGTCCTAACGCTTCACTAGAGAAAAACAAATTTATTGTCACAATACTCTATGCGTCACGCGAGTTTATTACTGTTGAAAAGGTGCTTTTGATTTTTAAACAGAACTTTGTTTGTAGTGAAGAAAGTCGTTTTACAATCGTTTATCCTGCACATATAATAAGGACCAGTCGAGGTTTTCAAGAATTGAGCTTTTCCGTCACAAAATACGCGGTTGTAAGACAAATTTCTCCAGTGCAAAAAAGTCGATTTAAAACTTAAGCCCCTCCCTCCCGTCAGAAATCCATCTTTAAAACTATAAGTCCGATCTTGACCAGACTTTTAGAAGATGCTGAACATGTGAAAGTATGGTGAAGAGATTTTTTGTTTGGCTCCATCGTGCATGGTTTGTAAGATGTCGTCATAGCAGTGACTAAAATGGGGCTGTTCGTAGCTCCAAGATTTTTCAGTAACGAAACATTGTGAAGAGCTCGGGCTGGTCTTAAATTAATGAAAACACATGTGACTACAGGCTAATAGAGCCGAAGTTTTGATATTTTTCCTTTCAAATTAATAGTCAGCATCAAAAGTCCAAAAATTGAAAGAGCCTCATTAACTTTGGTAAAAATGTTTTTCTAATCATAATCCAGACTAAATATCAAAATCGGGCTCGATTCGCCTCTAGCCACATGTGTCAGCTTCAATTTAAGATCTTCTCGAGCTCTCTGCGATGTGTCGTTACCGAGAAATCTTGGAGCTACTAAATGATGCTAAGGTAAAAGTCGCTTTCGAGATGTGGTGGCGCCAGCACCTGATGATAAAAAAATTTATGTTTCTAATGAAGGTGGGGTTTTACGTCTCCTCAACTATACAAATGAGATTTGTCTTAACGGTGAGTAAAATAACTGGAGTAAGAAAAAAACGAGACATCTTCGACAGAGAATTTAAACGAGCTAAGTGCGATAATCTATCTATCCTGTCTAGGTAATAATATTCTTAAAAGCCAACCAACGAACAGAAGCTTTTTTCCTTCTTCGAGTTTCAAAAATTACAGTCGTCCCCACCCACCGCGTCCGAGCGAAAAATTTGAAACTCTTTGCTAGCTGCTTTCTGTATTTCTTCTTGTCATTTTTATCCTTTAAGATGTATAGGTTAATCAAAGTCTATATCTAAATTAGAACCTATTTTACAGTAGCTGATCCTATACTTCTAATTTTCCGATAGTATCCAAAAGTTTTGACAGATGATCAAAGCTTTTGGACCTATATAGCAGTTGTTTGATCATGTTTAGTTTCTTATACATGTGAGTCATGTAGCGCTCATTGTTGCGAATTGCAAGGTATTCCCCTCCCAAACTGGTATAAGCTTCGTCTCGCTTCAGGATACCTCCCTTGCTCGTCAAGATTTACAGCGTATCACTGTCAATATGACGCTGAAACGACAAAGAAAAATGCATAGGACACGAAAAGAAATTGGGTGACTTCCATTAAAACATTTTTAGCACAAGTTTCATTAAAATGATTTTTATGGCACAAGAATTTTATCTTATATATATATATATATCGCTTAGCAAAAGATACCTGTTTCACTTCGTAATATATTTTTTTCTCGCTTAATACACCTATTTTCAGGTGTTTAACTTATATTCTGTTTACCGAACTTTTAAACTAATGCCTTCAGCAAAGTGACTGTACCTGGAGTTCCATTAAAAAAATTTTTGATAACACAAAAATTTCATTGAAAATTTTAAGGAAAATCCAGCAAACATGCCGGAAGTTTTCATTAGTTTTAATAAACTTCTTTCTAATGAAAGCTTTTTAATGAACTTTTTTAATGAAACTCCGATGTCCCAGAAAAAGCACTATCTGTTCCAAAAGAAGAGCCTCCGATGTTCTTTGAATAGCATAGATTATCAATGATAATGAGACTTGTGACAATGTTTGTTTCTAAACGAAAATTCAAAAACCTAGTGATAACCTTTTTTGAATGAAATAACTCATTTCTGCCTATTTGTATGAAGGATTAAACCATAGTTTACACAAAATCTATCCAGACTAATTCAGAATATCAAGGTATACTCTATTTTATCTGCACTATACGGAGAGAAATTAGAAATCTACGGAAGTAAGAGTCTTTTTCATTGATATTAAGCACAGAATTAAATTTAGAAAATAAAGGAGGGTATATCTTGATACTGTGAAGTAGGTTGCATCGATTTTGAGTGAATTATGAATGTTTTAATTTGTCTTCAAAACTAACGATAACTCATCTTTTCATCTATCTCCGATGTTGCCCGACGTAATGATAACGGATTATAGATGTCTCAGGAGAATGCTTGTCGTCCGACAAACACATCAGATAGACGGTTGGTCTTTCACAGAATTGGAGAGAAAGTTTTGAACTGCCCAGCCATCATGTTATAATTAAAAATCCATCACAGTTTCAGGAACAATCTTATCTTGCTTCATCTGTTAGGCAAACTACCTCGAAAACCTAGACTTTTTAAAGCCAAATATATGAAAAGATAAAGTAAAGTTTTCTCCACACAATGGTGGAAGTCTGAACTCTCTATCACTGTTCGCTTAAAAGCTATCAAAAACATTTGAGGCGCCTCAATTTAAGAATAGATAGTGGTGGTGGAGGAAGACAAAGGCTATAGAAGCTTTCCGTATCAAACGTTCAAATAGATGAATAAATAGTTATCTTGATTAATAATAAAAATATGATTAGGCATTTTTTATTTCTTCATCTTAAGGTGTTGCTTGTGTTGGTATTTGATCTACCGTTGCAACAACTTCTCGTTGAATTAATTCAGCACTTTGTTTTGCCAAAGCGTCTTTTTGTCGTTCATATAATTGAATTTTTCTTTCATCATCACGTTGTCGTCTTTTTAAAAATTGTACACAACTTTCTTTTCTATCTTGCATTTGTTGAATACATTTTTGTCCTTCACGTAAATGCATTGCTTCTATTCCATGTTCACCAGATTTTTTTCGTAATTGTGCTTGCTGTGAATGATATTCTAGTTGTTGTTGAGAATCAACGGTAAAAATTTCAGTTAATTGTAAATCTAATGCATTTTCTATTTTTATTATTGGTTGTAATTTTGAATAATCATTTAACCATGAGGTATAATATTCAATATTATTACACATAATATACATTGATATTACATGAACTAATTCTTGTAATGAACGAATAAATGGTCGAAGTTGTTTTTCTTTTTCAATCATACGTAATATCATTGTAATACTAAACCTTTTTGTTTTATTTTTATGAATGTGCTGTAAACAATCAATTGTATTATTAAATTTTTCATCAAATTTTTCACTAGTTGTTGCATCGGAATCTTCCTCCGGATCATATAAAATTTTGATGGGTTCACCAACGTAGAGAGAAGGGTGATGAGAAAGAGTAGCAGATGATATTGCCATTCACTTATCTATATAAGCAATTCAATAAAACAGTGAAAAAGATCTGTACAAATACATACTTAGTTCTCAAAAAGCTGATTAATTACCACCACACACAGAATTGATACATCAATTGTATAAATTTAACTTGAATGTCAGAAACAGTTTTCTTTAAAAAAATACAACAACATCCAGGTGTTGTGTACTGAAGAACAATATCTGAAATAGTAATCACATGAATTCTGCTAAAGGAGTGAAAAGAAACAATGAATTAATTCCAACGGTTACAAGCATCTAATTCTCGTACTGTAAACTGAAAAAGGATAACGTTTTTTGCTGTGGTTTAAAATAAGACACTAATAAAACGATTGAGAAGAGGAAATATCATAATTAAGTGACCATTGACTTTTCTCATCTCTGATTCCTGAAATCGGTTAACATGTTTATTACAGTGCTTAATTTATTGAGCGAGA